TATAGATGAGATCAGTTAAGAATTCAGACTGTTGCCTGGCCATAATGCGGATAATATAGTAGAATGAACCTTTAAGTGCAGGTTAAGTAGCAGTAGCTGGCTTGATTTTCTTGCCAGAATAAAAATCATAGAGGAATTTTTTGAGAAAAATAAAAAGTTAAAGCAAAAACGAAGTTTGTAGTTTTTTATTAGATTGTATTTCTTTAGTAATAGGAAAATTTGCAACCCAGTCATATGTGAGATTAGATTTTGGCTTGGCAACACTAGAATAGAATTAAGAAAAGGGTTTGTTTAAAGTATTGTTAGATTAATTAGAATTATTAGAATTGTTAGAATTTGGGTTAGAGTTATCAAGAGAAGCAAGAATTACAGGTTGATTAGAAACAGAATTAGTGTTAGTAGTTATAAAGAAGAAAGAATCAATAAGATTAGAAGCAGTTTGAGAGTTTTGGTGAAAAGAGGCAACAGGAGGATTAGTAGTTTGAGAAGTTTCATTTAGAATAATTTGGAAAGTTTGTGTAAGATTTTTCTTGGTCTGAGATGAACTAGCTTCATGTTGAGATGAAGCAGTCATACAAGCAAGATGGTAAACTTTATTATTCTTTGTAACGTATTTTTTATTAGGATGGTGACATTCATTTTTTTTAGTACACCAATTGGAAGAGAACATTTAGAGCAGGTATGGTAGTGAATGTCAGGTGTAAAAGATGAAGGGATACTGTCAGTTAAAAAAAAGAGATTGGTTATAAGTTGTTGAGTTGGTCTATTTATATTTTTCTTTGAGTTGCTATTAACATAAATTGTAATAAGTTTAATAGCTTGAATATAATTAGTATTGGTAGGTAAGGTAAATTTAGTATGATATTTGCCACAGAGACAAATAATCACAGAAGTAGAAGAAGAAACTTGAAAGAAGTAAGTAATTTTGTTAGATCTAAGGTCTTTAGTTAAACAAGCAGTAAGTTTGACTTTAAAAAGAATTGAGCAAGCATTATTGCCACTTTCTTCTTTATAGAAAATAATTCCAAAATTGTTAGGAAAGTTTTGGTAAAAATAGTCAAGATTTACTGTATCCAACTTTTGGTTGGTTAATGTAGGTATTTTTGAGATATAAATGAGTAAATAGGTAATATAATAATAACTTAAAAAATTTTTCTAAATTAAAATTGTGATCAAATAATTAATTTGTAAGAGTAGTGATTAAAAACAGAGGTTGTATAGTTAAGAAGTCACTGGAATAACACAGAGTGTAATTAGAATGATTGGGATCACTGATGTGACTCAGATACTATATACAAATAAGATTTGCAATACAAATTATTGTATATAATTAATAAGAATCAAATATAGAAATAATTAAATTGTGTTAAATGAATTTCTATTTATAGATAGGTTACAGAAAATTTTTATGTAAATTAATAAAATGTGGATTGGGAAATAATAGTATAATTATATAAAAAATGTGTAAGGAAAAAAGGAGTCAGATAAGAACAAAAATAGAAAAAAGAAAAAGTTTTACAAGAGAGTAAAAGAGAAATTTTATTGTAATTCAGCCAATATTAGGTCAAAATTCTTTGTTTAGAGCTTGTTTTGATTAGACAAATGTGTATTACAACTTTAATTAAGAGTAAAAGATATATTATTATAGTAGAAACTGTGAAAAAAAATTAATTGTTAATCTGGGGTCAAAGGCTGTTAGTACAGTTTTTTTAATGAGTTTAAAAGCTAAAAATATGATATTTGCAGAATATATATAAAATATAGAGTTAAACAAGTTTACTTAAGACAACAGAACAGGTTGTCTTAGTAAAATAAATAGTTATAAGTGTTTTTTGATGAACAGATTTTTTAGTTAATTTTTGTGCAATGGATTTGCAAAAAGAGTTTGTCAATTACTAACTTTTTTATATATAAGTATTATTAATTTTACTATATAAAATTACTAATTTTTTATATAATAAACTAATTTAAATAGGTAATTTTAGGGTGTGGCAACTTAGTGAAGTGGATAAGTTGTCATACCCTCAAATGGTAGGTTGTGAGTTCAAAACTCACCTACAGTGAAATTTGGATAATCACCTATGTAATATATAGACGGTATTATAGCGACATCATTCTGTCGATCAGTTGGAATAGGATACCTGTAACTAAGATCACACCAGCATGACTGGCAGGTTTGGAGCATCTGTGTAACCTGTTACACAAAGGAATAAAACTACTACTGGGTGGTGCAAACCTAAAATAAGTCCTCAAGCTATGTAAATCTGTAAAACTGAGAAGCCAGAGCCTACTTGGAAATTCTAAGCAGAAAGGTAACATGGATCTTCGACAGTACTACTGTAAAGGCTAGACCTAGGAAATGGATACCAATATAAAGAATTCAGCAGACAAGAAGCTCAGATGAGAGATACCACCAATTAGGCTGCTGGATTTCAGATCAGAGGAAAAGAATATTGAGCTGACCTCAATATACTAAGGACAGGTCACAGTCCTCTCAAGCTATCTGGATTGGGAGTCTTGGTCCAAAGTAGGGGTATACTAAAAATACTTGGGATATGCTGTGAAGTCAGTACTGGAGTCTGAGTGAACTCTGCAAGGGTAGCTTATATTAGTGTTCTAAAAGTAAGTAGATAGTTAACAACAGGGGGCCTCCTGTGCCTTACTGGCAGGTAATGCATTCTGAAATATATAACAGTCTGAAAACCAGTACAAAAGAGTAGGTATCATACTGCTCAGATGGTATACTGGTTAGATATATATGGGGGGTTAGTTGAAGATTCCAATATGACAGGGCAGATGATCAAAGAGTTTAAAATAGATAATCTCCTAGTAGGTTATAGGTACAGCATCTAGTGTAGAACCTTAGAGCAGACTACTTAAATAGGAAACCAAAAGTTGCATATGTGACTAACTGTACTCCCATCTCTGTAAAAATAGTTGTAATAGCTAACCTGATATAAAGTCAATAAAGTATCATCACAAGTATGGCCTTTAACAAAAAAAAAAAAAAAAATAGGTAATTTTCTTTTTATTATAACTTTTTTTTTATATATTCATTATTGTTGAAATTTTGCAAATTTATATATCAAGGTTATACCAAAGCATTTGTATAGTAATATAAAAAATACTTAATTATGATTGGTTAATTTAAAAATATATTAAAAATTTTAAATTTTTAATTTTTTTAAAAAAAATTAACCAACTTTAAGATTTGTTTAAATAATTTATAATTAAAAATTAATATAATTTTTTTTTATAAATATATTCTATAAATCATCAAATATTAAATACATTTATTTGTTCAAAGTGTAGCAGAGGACAATATATATTTATATAAAGTGAAAAAATTGTTGGAATGTTTGACCACATTATGTGATATGTGACCAATCATTTTACAGTGATCAATAATTAATTAAATTAATTTAATACTTGCTTTGAACATACAATGCTATGCATTTATCTAGTTTAATTACAAATTAATATATAAAAGTTTGTGTAATTATATTTTAATTCAAATGTATCAAATTGATGTATCATGCTTAATGAAATTACCAATATTTGCAAATTCATTCTATATCAGATTTGATATCAAGAGTTTAGAGATTTTTAATTGATCTATTAAAATAGAAGTATAGTTTGTTTGTATAAAGTTGAGTAATAAGAAAATTAAGGTCAATTAATTGTTTTTAGTAAAATAACATATAAACAAATTGTTGAATAAGTTAAACTTTATATAATAGTAAAAATATTTGTAATTGTAATAAGAAAATTAATTGGAAGATTGTGATGTTATATATATAAATTAGAGTTAGAATTTCTTTAAAATTGGTTTGAATAGTTATTTGATCATTTGATTTGTTAGTTAAGTTATAAAATAAGTAAAAAGAATAGAAGTTTGATGTTAAGTAGAAAGTAGTTGATTGAAGTTATAAGAAGTCTGAACTAGATGAAAAAAATAAATTTATTGATTTATATTTTATATAAATTAAATAAATTTTAAATTAATATAATTTATTTAAAGTATAATTAATTTTTACAATTTATCTTTTAAAAATAAAAATAAAATCTTAAAGAATATATTTTAGTAAATTTTTAAAAATTTATTTTTAAAAAATATTATATAAGTTTTTACAAATGAATTTACTTGCACTTAGTCTACACATGAAGAGATAATACGCGCATTTTTTCAATAATTAGGTGTACAATGCAAGTCTAATTACATTAGTCGAACTATTTTATAATTACTGCATGAATATCGATAACGTAAATGGTAAAATATAAAAGTCAAATTGTAAAAAGCAGGCCTGCACAAATAAAATTATATCTATTGGGTTCATTTTAACATGCTCTTTAAAGTAACAACGCTTGTTTTTTTTCATTGTTTGATAGTAGTGGAGAATTCAAATAATATCAAACTTTTCGTTATTGATTCATTTTTAATAAAAATATCAAAAACGTCGAATTTTCTGTCCGCCGCCATGGTTACAATCTACATAGTAACCGAGAATTTTGGTATCACTTAGAGTCCATCGCTATTCTCCAACAATAAAAAAAAATGTTGTTACTTTAAATAGCACGTTAAAACGAACTCAATAGATATAATTTTATTTGTGCAGGTTTGCTGGTTCAAGAGTTATTAGAATTTGAATTTTATATGTTTTACTGTTTACGCTATCTATATTCATGCAGTAATTGTAAAAAAGTTTGACTTGCATCGTACACCCAAATCCGAGGTGTTCTGAGGCAAGAGTTAGTCTGAGACACAACATATATGTATAAAAATTATGAAATAGTTTATTGATTATATCGACTACCGCTATAGTATTACAAATTTGATAAAATAAGAAAAAAACACATGTTTGGCCTCATTCAAATTTAACCAATCCAAATACAAAGATCCAAAAATTTTAGTTAATTAAGATGCAAAAAAACCACTAATATATTAATTTAATATTGATATGAAGTTTTTTAAAACTGGAAACGTCATGTGATTAGAGCCTTTATGTGTCGCGCACTGTATAAAGTAAATTTTCCATAACATTATTTAAAAAGAAATCAAAAGGGTTTTTGAAATCATAAAACAAGACATTAATTTTAAAGGCATCAAAATCACTATTAAAAGTATGATTTGAATCAGTAATTAATAAAATCCTCTTTTTGTAAATATCAAACTTCTTTCCTTGAATATCAACGTTCTCTTCTTGAATATCAACATTCTCTTCGGGGAGATTATCCGTCTTTTCGTGAATATCTTTAATATAATCTTCTTCAAATTTAAATGCATAATTATTGGTCATTGAATAAATTCCATCTTTAACTGGAACTGGTCTTTTCTTGCTATGATTTTTGTTTTTAGGATATTTATCCCGAGTTGCATATCCAATCCATTTTATATTTGTTGCTTTATCAGGATTTTCGTGATCAAAATCTTCATCGTATCCATCTTTGATTGGTTCTCCAATAGCATATTCAAAAATATTTTTCAAATAATAAAATAAGAAATTACTGAATTGGAATATAATGATATGATAATCATCATTTCTTTGATGAATAAATTCACGGATTTTGTCTTCTAATCCATTTAATAGTCTAAAATCTTTCAAACAAATTTGAATTCCAATTCCAGTTCGAATAGATTCTAAAGCAGATTCCTCAAAATGAGGAGTCTTACGTATTTTAAAGTTAAGCCATTTAACAACATTTTGAATTAAATTGAAAATTTTCAATTTAATGTAATTATTTGAGTTATCATTATAATTAATTGCATATTCAGTTCCGTTATAATTCAAGCATTTAAAATCATCAATCTCTTGAATTTTTTGAGTAATATTTGCTCGATCACGCAACTTCAGACAATTCAAAGCTTCTTTAATTGTAATAGAAGTTCTAATTATATCATATTCAACTTTAATAGCTTGATTGACTAAAGCAATGGCATCATTATCATTCGTAATTTCTGAAACCTTAATAGCATTCTCTGCTTCGTGCAACAATTCTTTGATTCCAAATTGATTGTTATTTTCATTAATATAATATTTAAAAAAATAAGGATCATGTTGACGAATCTTATCAGTAGTATATATAAAATCTGCTTCAATCAATTCGTCTTTATCCTTATCTTCTTTGCTGATAGAATCGGTTTCAGGTGCTTCAATAGGTTCATTTTTATTTTTTCCATCTTTTTTGATAATAACAGTCGATAACATTTTGTAAAATTTGACTACATCCTCTTCTTCTGTCTTCTTAGCAATCTTGACTGATTTATTGGTTTTCAATGAGGAACTCATCCTTTTATTAAATATTTTTCTTATGGGGGAAGTATTTAAGATAAAAAGAAAACATTTAAAATCAAAATATTTCAATAGGGTAGCAGTTAAAAACAATTAGAACTTTGATGGTACAGTACAAAAAATCTAAAATCACATACGTATAAATAGGACTGGAGGAACCGTCAATGTTACACATTAATCATTCACACGATGTAGTTAATCAATAATAAAATCACTCACCCAGTCGTTCACATTGGTAACTTCAAGTGTGATGGATATAATCCCTCACTTCGTGTAACATTAACAGTTCCTCCTGTTTATAAATAGTGAAATCAAATATTTCCTAACTAGATATGAGGTTGACAATTTTTAAAATGTCGATGTGTTAATTGATTTAGAATAGGTGTTACCCATACTACAAGAGATTCATTACAGATTGGTGTAATGTATAATCAAGTACATACGTAGCACATTAAATCAAAATTATCGACTTCAATAAGGTATTTACATACTCCCCTTTATGATGTTAATAAATTAGGAAATATTTGATTTTCGATAACATCAGGAAATTATATAGAGCGAATGTCATTAGAGATTGTCAATAACATGTAATACGCAAAAAATTACTCGAATATTCTGAAAAAATGCAGTTACGGTTATCTGTATCTTGAAGATATACCAGGAATGGAGTATGAAATACGAAGAGTATGGTTTACGAGAGAGTTAAGTGGGTGTCTCTTTTTATCCGATTGGTTGCTCGAATCTTGTGACTTCATCTTGAGATCTCGATCTCTATATTTATACATTTTATACATGATAAAATAATTTATCTATCTACATATTATCATGGCCGTGATAGATAGATACATAAAATTGTTCTTGTTTTTACCTATTTTTGTTTTCTGTTCTGACTGTATTAGCGTTATAGATTTTTGAATAATTTATATCATATAAATTTTCTGCTTCGCTTGATTTTGATAAATCGGGCTTGTGGTTATACCGATTTGCTCTGTTAAATATAAAATTTTCAGCTATTATTGAATTACTTTAAACCAGGAATTTATTACATTTTCATATTTAATTCGTCCATTTTAGCTGTCCTAGTTCAATAATTCAAAGGTATCTATTTTTAAAGCATACACTTAATAATTAAACCATTTGTTGCTTTACTAATCTGCTCACTGTTTTTGAATGCTTGATTCTTGAATACATTTTCATTTCTTATGAAGTCTACATTATGATTATAACAACTTGTTATAACTCTGAACTACACATGCTTTCTCACAGGTAACCCTTTCTATCAAGTTTTTACAAGAGCATATACACTCCAGTGGTTACATCTATGCGACCATTAAGGAGGTTATGCTCTCAGGATGATTCAGATGGATTAAGCCATTTTGAATATATAAGAATGCCTAATACTAGAAAGGTATAATTGCTATGACTATAATGATACAATTATGAATGGTATGTAACAACTTACTTGATTAGAAAATACAGAAGAAGAGACAGGAAAAAATTATTCGTTACAATACTTTACATTTAATTGTAAATCAGAATGTTTTTTTATGTACCTATCCTTAAAACCTATGTATCGTTCCATGATAATTAGATCTAGATTAAATCGATTCTATGTTTAATAATAAAATTTCTTATCATTACCCTTATAGGAAGACTTTTGTATTATTTGTTGCTTAAATCAATTTAATTTTACATAATTTATACAGTTTAAATCCTTTTTTAAAAAAAATAAATCTGTAAAAAATAAACAAAAAAGTATATAGAAAGTTTTAACAAGGTTGTAAAAGTCTAATATTAAAAATAATCAAAATTTCTTTTGGTTTTGGAGAAGTTAGCATGGTAATAACCTAATTCTATTTATTTTTAAAAAGTTACCATTATGTTAACTTCTTTAAAACAAAAAGATATTTTGATTATTTTTAATAGTGAAGTTCTGCAATTTTGATAAAACTTTTTATATATTTCTTATTGGTTTATTCTTTATGGTTTTACTTTTTTAAAAAAGTACTTTAAATGTAAAATTAATGTAAAATTAAATAATTTAAACAACTAATTATATGAAAGTTTTTCTATTATTAGTCTGAAACACATGATTTGTAAGTAATCAATTTTATTATAAAATTTTTGTTATTTAGTTACAAGTTATGTTCTTTTAGTTAAAAAGAACTTTTATTATAATTAAATTAACCATGTTTATAATAATTATAATATTTATATTGATTATATTAATTATATTCTTATAATTAATATAAGCATTATAATAATATATTTATAAAAAAATTAATTTTTAATTACATATTGTTTAAAAAAATCTCAAAATTGGTCAATTTTTTTCAAAAAAAATTAAACTTTTTTTTTCAGTATTAAGATAATCTCTTTGGTTCAAGCTTTTTATTAATACTTATGTTGAGTACATGTTTTATACAAACATATCTATATTGAACTATTTAGATAAGTATACAACTACTTCCAACCCCTCGGAATTAATGTCTTTGCATACAACACTTTACCAATCAAGAAAAAACTCAAACCTTGGTTACTCATTTACAATAGTGATAATGATGAGATCATTATTGGCAAAATTCGCAAATATCTCCCAATCACAAATCAGTTTTCTATATCACATTGGAATACTAATATTAATTTAGAACACAACCACTACTACCCTCTTCCAGAATTAAACTGCACATCATGTACTGGATGTCACCTTAACTCAAACAGAATTAATCAAACATGCACAATCAACATTTCGGCAACTATTTGTACTAACTTCCTAGGAAGAAAAACCTCCAAACTCAAGTTTAATGCTAATTACCTAGATCTTATCTATTCAACAGCAATTAAACATCTCTTACGAATTCCCCAAAGCCACCCTACCATTAATATATCAAATTCAACTATCACAGAAATCTTTAAACCAAATGACTGTTCAAACAAACTTGAAGAAATTTTTCAAAA